TATATATATATATATATATATATCTTTATTTTTTTTGGAAGGTTAGACTTTCTTAATATTATATTAGATTTTTTTGAATTTACATAAATATAAACGTATGACAATAAGGTGTGATGCGCATGAATATTCAAGTAGGTGTTAAATATGTAAAATATAAGAATATCGTGGCATTGAATTAGATCTTCTCTTTTTTTTTTCTGGTGGCATGTAAACCTGTAAAAAAATGTGTTGCATGCATTAAAAAAAAACCCTTTTTTATTTTAAAGGTGTTAGATGTGCAAATCCATGAGAATAGAGTGGCATGCATGTGAATATTCAAGGTTTAAATGTCGGACATGAGTTAAGTGGCTTGCATGTGAATGTATAAGAATCAAAGTGGCATGCGTGCAAATATTAGAGTTTCGGTGGCATCAACATAACAAAAAGATGTGTTGAGGAATTAGGGAGAAGAAAAAATAAAAAGAACATAATTAGATATAATGAGGTTCGGGAAAGATACCTACGTCCTCGGGAGCGGAGCGGCGGCTTTTCACTAATTTAGAAAAATTACAGAATACAGAATTCAGGGATAATTCCTAGGGCTACATACAAGCCTAATTTTATAACCCTAGAAAGCACATAAAAAAGGAAACTTTGGGTACAATATGTAATTACCAAATTATTCATGTACCGCACCCCCAACCCACATAAAGTAACTCCCTTGATTTGGACAGAATCTTCCACTCTGCTTCACTCTTGATTTAGCACTGTCCATTTATGGTATATGAGTCATATCTAACAAATCTCCACCTTGACGAATATCCAGCCCCTTAGGAGAAATACGTCATGGAGTTCCTTTCATATAAGAAGTGGGTTGGGCCACCATGTTTCTCTAGCAACTGCAGACATTCAACAAGTCCAAGCAATGCATGAACTTGTTGATAGTAACTGCTTGGTTAACATATCAGCTGCATTCGCATCAATATGAACCTTCTGCAATAGTATCTCCCCAAAAGCAATCAATTCTCAGATCTTGTGATACATGACATCAATATGCTTGGTTCTCGCATTGTACACCTGGTTCTTAGCTAGATAAATAGCACTCTAGCTGTCACAATGCAACTGAATTCCACCTTGCTCAATGCTCAGTTCCTTTATTAGCCCAACAGACCATAAGGCTTTTTTAACAGCTTCAGCTACTGTCATGTACTCAGCTTCAGTTGTAGATAATGCCACAATAGACTGAATTGTTGATTTCCAACATATAAGCCCTCCACCAAGACTCCACCCTCCACCAAGAGTAAACACATACCCAGCTGTAGACCTTCTGCCATCCAAATCATCTGCGTAGTCTGAAACAACATACCCCACAACTGAAGGATCATTCTAATATAAAACAACTCAAAATTTAATCACTGCTGACTGCCAAAAATAATTTTATGTCCTACAGTACCCTTCCCACTTGACTGAATCCACTTGATTGCTTCCCAATGTCGCTTCCCAGATTTAGTCATATATTTGCAGACTTGACTAACAGCATGAGCCAAATCAGGACGAGCACATTTCATTGCATACATGAAGCAACCAACTGCACTGATATATGGAACCTTTGCAATGTCTTTGATTTTTGTATCTGTCTTAGAATGTCTTAGGACACAGTTCTGAAGAAAGCTTAAAATGATTTGTCAAAGGGGTGCTTACAGGCTTTGCTTTGCTCATCTCAAACCTTTCCAACACTTTCTCAACATAGTCTCGTTGAGATAAACATAATCGTATTAAGCCTTTGTCTCGATGAATCTCCATTCCAAGAATCTTCTTTGTAGGACCCAAGTCTTTCATTTCAAATTCTTAGCTCAATAATTCTTTCAAACCATAGACATCATTATTCATCTTCTTTACAGCGATCAGTATATCATCAACATACAGTAACAGAAAAATAATAGAACCATCATCAAGGCTCTTCACATAAACACAACAATCATGGAGTCAAACCGTTTGTACCATTGTCTTGGAGACTATTTCAACCCATACAACGATTTCTTTAACCTGCAAACCAGATGCTCCTGTCTAGTTTGAGTGAACCATTGTGGCTGCTCCATGTAAATCTGCTCATCTAAATCACCATGCAAGAAAACAGTTTTAACATCAATCTGCTCCAAATGCAAATCCCAAATAGCTACCAATGAAAGCACTGCGAAGCACTGCTCTGATTGAAGTATGTCTAACCATAATAGAAAATATTTCATCATAATCTATCCCCTTCTGCTTTGAAAATCTCCTTGCGACCAGTCAAGCCTTAAACTTTTCCCCTTCTTTTTCTGATACTGCTGGTTTCCTTTTGTAGACCCATTTGCACCCAATAGCCTTCTTTCTCTCTAGAAACTGAACTAGCTCCCATGTGTTACTTTCTACAAAGACTCCATCTCCTCAACCATTGCACTCATCCATTTTTCTCTCTTGGCTAATGATTGCTCCTTGAAAAGTGGTTGGATCATCATTGTTGATGAGAAGTGCACAAGAGACCAAGTCTTCATAACCCAATCTGCTAGGGGGCCTTACATTTGTGTGTCTCTATTTATCTCTGGCTAGATTATAATTTTGCATATCATCTAGAATAGAATAATCAGGTGTTGGATTTGAACTTTCACCTCTCTCAGAAGCTACTGGCTGCTGTTCTAAATCCATCTGCACTGCCTTTGAACTATAACTCTTCTCTGACACATTGTCTTGATTCTGCTGTAACATAAACTGCTCATCAAAAACTGTATCTCTGTTGATCACCACCTTCTTTGTAATTGGATCCTAAAACTTGTATCCTTTCATACCTTTCTTATAGTCCAGAAAGATGCACATCTTGGATTTTGCATCAAGTTTTGATCTTTCATCTCCAGGTACATGCACTTAAGCAGGACAACAAAAATTCCATAAATGATCGAATTTAACTAGATTACATGTCCATACCTCTTCTGCGGCCTTGCCACCCAATGATGCTCGAGGTGGTCTATTAATGAAATAACATGCCATATTCACAGCCTCTGCCCAAAAAACTCTTAGGAAGCTCTGCATTCAGTCTTAAGCACTTTGCCCTTTCAGTTAAGGACATGTTCATCATTTCTACCACACCAATATGTTGTGGTGTTTTGCGCACTGAAAAGTGCCTCTGAATCCCACGCTCCTCACAAAACTTATGAAACTGTGAATTTGTATAGTTTGTGTCATTATCGGACCTCAAATACTTGATCTTTCTGCCAGTTTGGTTCTCCACCTTAGCTTTCCACAACTTGAATTTAGAGAATACTTCAAATTTCTACTTCAAGAAATATGCCCAAATTTTTCTGGAGAAATCATCAATAAAGGTAACAAAATACTGAGATCCTCGCAATGACGATTCCCTAGTAGGGCCCGTACATCCGAATGCACATAATCAAGAATCCCTTCAGTTTTATGTTTTCCAGTCATAATAAAACTGACTTTAGTCTGTTTTCCAAGAATACAAAACTTACAAATATGGAGCTTGCATCTTTTAACACCATGCAATAAGTTTCTTCTATGCAATTCCGTCATCCCACGTTCACTAAGATGACCCAGACGCATATGTCATAGCTTTGTATTATCATCATCTGACTCCATAGAATGAACTCCACCTACAACTGTACTCCCCAACAGTTTGTAGATATTGCATGCAGTTAACTTTCCTTTCATCACAGTCAGTGCACCCTTAACAATTTTAATGGTTTCTCTATCCTCATCTGCCTTAGAAATGAAACCATTTCTGTGTAGAGTGCCCAAAGAAATCAAGTTCTTCTTCAGATCTGGAATATGTCTGACATCATATAACGTTCTAACTGTGTCATCATACATCTGAATTCTAACTTCTCCAATACCAACAATATTGCAGCATCTATCATCACCCAAATAGACTGAGCCATAATTAGTTAACCTGTATGAAGTAAACCACTCTATGTTATGTGTTATGTGTTATGTGATAAGAACACCCTGAATCAAGAATCCTTGCATCCGTGAATAGAGTTGATGAAAATGAAAGCATATTACCATCACTGCAATCTGAATTGTCACTCTGCACCACATTTACAAACTTCGATGATGTATCACCTTTCTCCTCAGTCTGCTTCTTGAGGTTTGGACAATATCTCTTCATATGACCTGATTCCTTTCACCTGTAGCAATGAATTGTCTTTTTGCCTCTAGACTTTGATCTAAAATTTTGCCTTCCAGAACCTTCCTTCTCTTTCTTTCTTTCCCGATCTTGTTTACCCTTAACATATAAACTGTCGTCGTGAGAGCT